TGGTTGTTGGCTTATTATACCTGAATCCAAATTGATAATCACCAGTAATCTCATCCACAAATAGTCTTACCAAGACATTGTTTGATAACATTTTACATGCACTAACCCTGTGGAGCAAAGTCCTTCATGAGAAGCTAATGATCATTTTGCTGTTCAAGGGATTGGGGCACATGGTAGTTTAGCTAGTTGAGGCACTATGCCACAAGCTGCAAGGTCACAGGTTCAATTCATGATGAGATCATTGGATTTTTCAATTGACTTAATCCTTCCTGCCACACTGTGGCCTTCTGTTCAACTCAGCCTCTAACAGAAATAATTACCAGGAATCTTCCTGGGGTTAAAGAGTGGCCAGTGTATAAGGCTGATAACCTCACTGCCATATATGAACTGATTGTCTAAAAAATGTGGGAACCTCAATGTCTCACAATTCTGTGGGTCTCCATGGTCTGTTACAGGGATATACAGCTTATTTATTGGACTGTCACAACACAACAATAAAAGAACTTCAAGGACAATTCCCAGATATAGTTCTGCTACATATTTTGGCCACTAGTGGCCATCATCAGGCAAACACACTTCAACAAACGTACACCACTGAACTGCAGTATGCAAAAGTTGATGCAATGTCATAAATCATTTAAGATAATTTGCAATAAGAATACAATAAGTAGGTTATTTAAAACCAATAAAAGTCATATATAAAAAACAAAATTAAAATTTGATTGATGTTTTTTAACATCGAATCAGTTGTTGGTTCCACTTTACATACGTATCTGTCGACAGATAGTAAACAGTCGTTGTTTACGTCCCATACATAACGTACAATTCTCTGTATGATGAGGCTCCAACTATTCCATTAATTATTGGGCCTCCTATACAATTTTATAATGAAACATTGAAATTTACTATTTGTCGACGGATACGTATGTAAAGTGGAACCAACGACTGATTCGATGTTAAAAAACATCAATCAAATTTTAATTTTGTCTTTATATATGACTTTTATTGGTTTTAAATAACCTACTTATTGTATTCTTATTGCAAATTATCTTAAATGATTTATGACATTGTATCAAATTTTGCGTACTGCAGTTCAGTGGTGTATGTTTGTTGAAGTGTGTTTGCCTGATGATTGCCACTAGTGGCTGAAACATGTAGCAGAACTATATCTGGGCATTGTCCTTGAAGTTCTTTTATTGTTGTGTTGTGACGGTCCAATAAATAAGTTGTATATATTGTAACACAGCAGGATGCATGAAATGAAAATTGTTACAGGGATAAATAACTAACTCACTAACTAACTAACAAATGAACTAACTTCATGGAATAAGAAACAACAGGACTGAATAAGTTGGCTCAAGTAATAGTGCTTCTGACTCATATTCAACAGATGCCTGGTTCAGATCTTAGCTGGAACACTCACTGTCATTACCAAGATTGTTGTTTTCCTCACTCCCTTCAAACAAATACCAGCAGAGTTACTCAATTAGGTCATCACCACTTCCTTTTATGTACTTTCCAATTCATTATTCATCAGTCATTCTACTATTCAATGATGTATAGTCTGAGATACTGACAAAATCAGCAAATAAATAGAAACAGCAAATAATATTACTGTTTCATGTATTAAATCCTAAATACTTAAATTCTGACACTTTTCAAATTTATGTATGTGTTTTTATGGTAGAAGAGAATAATCTGGTTATCATGGAAAGTAACCAGAACCTGTGCAGAATCAGTAGCAGGATATTATATTTAATCACCTATAGTTGTTCATAATTACCAGTTTGTCACTACTACCCTAATATACACATGTATAATTAATTAATTAATTAGTTAATTAACGACAGCATCTGAACTGACAGACTAGATGCAACTGTAATATGGAAGATTATTAACACTGAGAATAACCACAGATGTTCTTTATTTTATGTCAATAGTGCTTATATAATAATAGGTACTGAGTTCTTCTTGAAGCATTACAAGTCCTTACATTAGTTGTTTAACATTTTGAAGGCAATTTAAATTAATTTGCGAGTTGCCTCAGAATACATTAAATTCAAGTAGTATGGCAGATGACACAGGAAGTTTTACTCTCATGTTAATCATCGGAGAAATGAATCAGAACAGACCTCACCAAATATGATTATTATCATTTTCTCTTTATTTAATTCCTTTAATTTTTCGTTTCTGCTTTTCTGTTTTTTGTTTGTTTTCTGTCTCTTTCTTTCTCACTCTTTTCCTTTCTTCTGACCATTCTTTTTTTCTTCTTTGCCTGTCTCTTTCTGTTCCTCCAGTTATTTTTTTTCCTGCTAAACTGATGTAATACCTCCCATGTGTGGATTCATTGGTCCTCTTAATAGAAACTATCAGGGAATTAATTTTTTTATATGTTAGTTGGTCTTTGATCCACAAGTGAAATGTATATAACTGGTTAACTAACTCCCTGCAACAGAGTTCTTGGGAAGCCAGTAGTCACTCAGCTGTTCAGTGAATACCCAGCATTTTATGGAACTCATAAATTCATTACCATATTCACAAGCCTCCACTGCTTGCTCCTGAGTAAGATAAATCACTAAGGTAAACATGAGCTTTCAAATTTTTTGTGTTATTTATTATATCCAAGACTCACTTGTCCATCGTAATAGTATTTTGATTTTGTCATCAGATGTAAAAATATTCTATGGTAATAAGAAAATGAAGTGCAGAGAAGTGCTGATAAATTGATGAACTGAAAAAGTTGTTTGAAGTTTACTGGAATGCTGCATTAATGTAAATATTTGAGATGAAAATCCTTTGACATGAACTTGAAAAAGGTACAAGCATAACAAATGCATTATCATAGCCAATAGTAGGGCTGTCCAATTTAAACCAGTAAGAGACAGCGTTGTACCATGTGCATGCCTACCTGCAGGCAGCATTATGAAATAATGTTTTCCAGTGTGGCAATAAATATCCTGCAGTGGTCAGATCTGTGAAACACAAACACAGGAATAAAAATTGAGCCCAAAAAATTTCAAAACATTTACTTGAATTAAATATTGCCAGGTTAGTGGTGCTTAAAAATCAGCAGCTAGAGGAAGAGTATACTGTATTAACATTTTAAGAAATTGTGGGGGCATAGTAATTCCATAATTTTTGTAAGTTAATTATTTTGAGATGTGTGAAATCAGTTGAAAAATTACATGGAATATTTAGTAAGTACTTTTCATAAAGTTTTTTGACAAGACTCACAACTTTCTTGAAAGAGTAAGAAAGTATGAATACATATTGCAGGAAATGAAAGGATACTCTTACAGACAACACAAATCTTTCTGCTAGGCTGCATATGGCCTGCATGTTGCGAGTTGGACAGCCCTAGTTTATAAAAACTGGCATTCTTTAAACATTGCAGGAGTTAAAAAATTGATATATATATAATAGTAACATATGAGTTTTATTTTGTTTCTGTGTACCCTTTAAATAAATGCAGATGAATCTTAACATTTGGTAACATATTAAAAATGTTCATGGATTTTCTTCTGTTTGCTTGTTGCTCTATTAAAAATCAAAATTCCAGGGTGTATTTATATGTGTGTTGTGTATAAAATTTATTTCCTCTGTAACACAAATTTGCAAGAACAATGAGAAAATGAATCACCATCTAAAACTGGTTGAGAACCACTGAAAATTTCTAGCTATTAGCCTAGTTGTTTTGTAAGATTTTATAATAATTTTCATTGTTTTGCAGTTAAGCTAATGTGCTTTAATAACATATCTTGTGAGGGCTTGATAGCCTGCCTTAGCTAATGTTTTGAGTAGCTTTGTTTGCATCGCTGTTTGCTCCGTGCTTGCGGCTGCCATGCTGCTGCTACTGTCTGAAGCTGTCATCCTAAGCCGCCGCCACCAGATGCTCACTCACTACCACATGGACGATGTGATGATTTCTCACCTCCTTGATATGCGCCACACAGTTCTCCATTTATTTTTCATAACAAATTTGCTTTCTACAAAGAAGTGTATAAAAGTTTCCTTGGTTATTGACTGTTCCTGGGTGCACGCCAACACAGTCATTTTTCAAAGCTTCTCGTGTAATCTGTTTACTCAAACATACTAAGTGGCCAGTATTAAGAAATAATATTTCCACATCAACTGTTTGCTGGTATAGTTAGATTACTCATTACTAATTTATTAGTTATCCCTGAGGTAGTTAGTACTCGTACCAAAAAACTTAAGTAATTCATGGTGTCTCGATATTAAGACAGCAGAAAATTCAAAAGTGAAAGATAATGTCAAAGTGAAAAGTGTATAAAAATCAACATGATACGAAGACTTATTGTATGAACAGTGAAGTTGATTTGAATGAACAAGACAGTTCGATGATTCACTGATACATTGCACCAGAAGCATGTGGAGCACAGTGTTTACTCAGCATGTTTCGCATGCTTAACTTTAAGTAAACCCAAAGAAGAAACACCAAAACAGGTTTGTATATGAACTATACTACTGTAGACATATAATCTGGAAATACTGGTGCACTGTTAAAGGTGTACGGCTTAGATCCTTCTGTTTGATTAATAACAAGTTTGCAAACTATTAAGTCATGCAGGAATTTAAAAATGTAATTATAAACTGTAATTCATATTATTATGTGATCTGGATATGAGACATTGAGAATTTATCATTTGAAGAGAATATAATTAAAGCCATATGCCACCTTCTGCTGAGTTCATTTAATTTGAAGTTAAATTTTGTTACATTGTGCATAAATTCCTATGTGACTTTTGTATTGGACCCAGTGTGGGTATATCATATTGCTGTTCAACCAAGCATTGCAGATAATGCTGCTTATCTAAGTTTAAATTTATAACTGTTGTGCTCAAGCATTGCTTCAGAATGATAATACTTCTGAATACACATCGGCAGATATATCTGCAAGGCTTCTATAATTTTGCATGTTGATGCATGTATTTCCTGTCTCATTTGTTCTAAGCTACAACATCCTTAAACATGGTTTCCAGGGTGGGAACGCAATTATAGTGGTCGGAGTGATAGTGACCTGCCCTCGCATAGTACCATGTCTTCTGCTGATCACAGAGTGAGGAGGATTCCTCATTCACTGTCACCTGACAAAGATGTGATGGGTGACTTTGGGGACAGTGATATTGAAAGTGTTGTAAGCATCACGAGTAGTGCCTTCTCCACTCAGTCAGAGCGTCCACGTGGGTCCAGAGGGCTCAGGTGAGTGTGTCTAATTTAATTACAAATTTTAATATTATTTGGTTTACATGTCTCTTAATATTTTTCAGTGTATTATATTGTAATCTTGAACTGAAACAAGATTCATTTACAGTGTGTGGGTATGGCTTCACTTTCAAGTATGCCGTAAGCTACACAGCTTTAATGTTCTCAAGTACATTTACTCTGAAAACTCTGTAAATACAAAACCCCAAATTACCGTCATCAATGACAAAATTAATAAATTTGTAAACATTCTAACAAGATGCCTCAGATAATGTAAATGTACATAAAGAAAGCAGTCTTCTTGGATGTGGCACCATGTAGATGTGGTGTTAACCAACGTTTTGGAGGAACATATCACCTCCATATTCAGGGTAGAAGGAAAAAATAAGAAAATCCACAAGCAAAGAGACAATGAGAACAGGTGCAAGCAGACTGATGTTGGAAATAAACTCAGCTATATGAGAGCAGGGAAGGAAGGGGGGGACAAGTCTACATGGGAAATCAGCAGAGAGGGAGGGGGGTAGGGTTTGGGACCGCAGCAGGGTTTTGTATAGAATATTGTTTTGGGGGAGAAAGGCAAGGTTACTGGGAGGGCATTAACCCTTAAGCTATGTGAGTTGGTCATGGACTGTGTGGCCTTGTGGATCTGGCGTCATGTTCCGTGGGGGGCGGGGTTTAGTGAACAGATGAGAGGCTCCCATGACTTGCTGAGACAGAACCCCCCCTTTCTGTTCATGTTTTTGGGATGTAGTTCAATCTCAATGGATTCCCTAATTATACGATCCATATATCGGGTCTTGGTGGCAAGGATGGAGGTATTCTGAAGCTGAATGTTGTGTCCTAAATTGATGCTGTGTTCAGCTACAGCTGTCTTCCTTAAATGTTCAGCACCTTCTGTATTAACTTCTACAGAAGATTTAGGTACAGATTCAGATGCTGAAGATTGCAGACAACTTAGCAGTATCCCAGATAGAATAGATGCAGGTGGTGGTTCAGATGAATTTTCCAGTAACAACCCAATTCCCACATCTAAAATCAGAACATTTTCAGTACTAATACAGGAACCTTATGACATGAATAAAACTATAAGAAAAGAGAAATATTCAACTGATAAAGCACATGCTACAGAAAATGAGGATAAATTCCTGAAAAATGTAGTAAGTGTGTAGCATTATGAAACAATGAAGTGCATGACAGTAGCAGAAATGAAAGGCAGTTCAACAACAGAAAAGAACCAAGTGAAAAGAATCTCATTATAGGGAGCAGTGATAATAAAAATGTATCTTATAAGGCTGGTGAGAATAGCTGAAATGGTGCCATTTCAAACCCAAAGGGCTCAATCTATGACAACATGTAATAGTTCTACATGTAAAAAAAAATTGCCAGGAACTTACTTGTAATTACACATTCCCAGAGCCAATCACAGTTGATCAGCCTGTCTAGCAGGGTAACAGATAACATACACAATATTGAATGTTGTGAAGTAGGAGATAAAAATAACCATATTTCTTCTTTAGATGATGCTTGTACCACACACCAAACTGATACATTTAATTCTATAATGCCAAAAATTTATTCTAGTTGGATTTCTGGTGACAACAAAAAGGCTCATAAGTCTGTCTATATTGAAAAATCATGCAGTAGTAGGTTATCAGATGGCAGCAATGATAAGGATTTAAATTCATGTGGGTCCTTAATTAGTGAGTTGGTGGAAATTGGGTTATCTGAAGGGAAAGGTAGTTATAGAATTCCTAATGAGGCTAATGATTGGTACTTTCCTAATGCAGAAGTTTCAATATTTGGTAATGTAAAGAATTTAGAGCTCTCAAATTGTTGTAAGAGTAGGAAGAAAAGGAATCATATGGGACATAAATGGGAAAGCTTCAGCAATGATAATGATGTTGGCAGTATGGTAGATTTTGTGGTTAACAAAGCTAGTGGTTCTCTGGAACAGCATACTTATGTTGAATTTGAATATTGCAAAAAACCTGTGATCCACAAACACCAGCAGTTGACATTCGTGCAAATAATGGTGACACTAATTACCACCCCTTTCTTATGTCCCATGCTCTTCCCCCATCACAATTCATCACGACTACCAATTTGGACTTGCAACAACATACAAATTCTGCCCTCATGGTCCACTACATGGCAATAAATACAGTGACTATGGCAGTAGCAGTGGAGGTGGAGGGGGACAACGCATGGAAATCCACCACAGTGGGGCTCAAGGGGCCAACAGCAGTTCAGGGAGCAAGAGGAATACCTTCACCCGTAGTCTGTCAAATGCAGATGTTCCCTCAGACGAGAAAGCTGGTATGTGTAAAAATGGACTGGTCAGATGTAAAGAACAAATTTATATGAAGCTAAATGTGTGTGTAAAACAGGCGAACCACCATTTATCGTTCTTGACTTAAGGTTTTAACTCATCAACCATTCAAGTTTAATGATATCAAGTCAGTAGTCTCCATTTAAGTATTTTCTTAGTTTAGTATTCAGTTCAATATCCTCAAAAGAAACCTTTAATGTGAGTTTCACCATGTATTTAATGAATGTGATTCACAGAGATTTGAAAGTTGTCTGGCAGTAAACATCTCAGCATTGTAACATGTTCCCATCCTACTTGCCCAGCATAGTGGTACTTGTAATAAACTTTGTCTGTAGAATCTTTGATACATCATACATGGAGTAGGTACCCTCACAGAAGAAAAATCTTGTATGTTCAGTGCAGTCTCTAAGATGGTGATTTTGGTTCTTGTTGTGTTTTTGTAAAATCTAGAAACTTTCTAATGATGATGTAATGATCTGGTGATGATGCATTTCCAGAGATGTTCTTGACTGACAGTAACAACCATGTTAACATGTACTTACGAACAGCTTACTGACTCTTTTTGATGGTGTTTCTGTTAAGAAAAATAACAGTTTTTTTTACGGCTTCTTTACTGAACTGACCATTAAAATTTGTTCATAGGCAGTGCTCATTTACCTCATGTATCACCTAAATTTGCCGGTCATGGTAGCCGAGCGGTCTAAGGCATGTACTGTCTTCGCTCGCTTGGAAACCGGGATCGTGGGTTCGAATCCCACTCAGGGCATGGATGTTTAGTTTGTGTGTGTCCATTCTTCTGTGTTTGTGTACAGGTAGAGGCCTTGCGACGAGCTGATTACCCGCCCAAAGGAGTCCTACCGAATGTGTAAAATCTAGAAAAACCGAAGTGAACGGAGAAGTTCATGGAGGTAGGCCTAGGCCCACTGGGGCTGTAGTGCCAAGGAAGAAAAAAAAATCACCTAAATTTATTGATTCTTTCTGATACTAAATAACTCCATATGCATAGTCTTTCTTGAATGCTAATAACTGTTCAGCTATTAAGAGATTACCCAAATTATATAGAACCTGGTAGTTCATTACCACCTTCACAAGAACCCAGAACTGGACCATATTCTGCAACATATGAATCCAGTCCAATCCTTTGCACTTTATTTCCTTATGATTCATCTTACTATGCTCCTTTCCATGTCTGTGTCTCCAGAATGGTCTTCCAGCCTCAGGTTTTCTGGCCAAAATTTTGTATGCATTTCTCATTTGTCCTGTACATGCTACATGCCTTGCCCATCTAATCCTCACAGAATATATCTGAAGGATGTATTTCATCCTTGGAAAGAGATGTGGATCTAAAATAAGTTTGAAAATGTTATGTGAAAAGTGATTAATTTGTGCTTGCTGATGCATAATATCCAGACTGCAGAAAATGTGAATTTGCAGAATTGTATTAATCCCTTTTTACAAGTGAGCACTCATCTGTCCATCCTCATAGTAGTATGTAAGTGATCAAGGGTGTCAGACTGATGAATGCTGTCTAGTAGTGTGAAAGTAATCAGTGTATATTGTGATATTCAGCTACTATCATAACACAGTCTGTTATAACATGAGTAGCATATAGAAGGCCTGCACAAATCCAGGGTGCCAGCTCACCATGGCACATAAAATTTTCCTGATGGCACTTAGAATTTTCATCCTATTATATAATTACTACCACATGAATTGTCAAGGATGATCATCAGAATAATTTTATTGTTCCTTTCCTTTATCCTTTTTGTATCTTCTTCTCCTTTCTCCCTTAGTGCTTTCCTATCCCTTGTATTTATCTCTTCTGTTATCATTCATATCTTTTTTCTTTCTTTACTCTCCTTCATATTGAAACAGTTACACCACCTCTGTTGTTCTGTTATTCTGCTCTATCTCGTTATCACTTCCCCTTGTTTCTCCCTTATTTCTTCCCCATTTGTTACATTTGTCCATCCTATCATAATTCCTCTCCCCATATCCTGGCAACATCATGTTGGATTGTTCCAGAGCATGAAAAAAACTGCCTGTTATTTACATACAGATGTTTCAGTTGCCCTCTTGTTAATAAAAATGAGCATATTTAACACCAAAGGTATTTTGTTTTTTATTGCAGTTCCAAGTTTTTGGAGTTGGCTTTTAGATTTACAGATGATTTGTGGAGGCCTGGCATTGTACAATTATCATTCCTGTTTGCTGATGCCCACATCATCTTAAACTTGCACTCCGCCCTAATTTTCACTTTTCTATTAATGTGTGTTGTATGTGGTAATAGATGGTAGCCTGAGTGACACAGCTGTGGGACACATTCATGGGATGGAAGGGTCACGGCGAAAGATGGTAGGAAGCAGTGAAAGGAGTGGGAAGCCCACTGGAGGTGGTGGAAATAGTAGTTGTCAGTTTGTGGGTTTGGGCAAGAAAAGTAATTCTACATCTCAGCTCTCAGCCACAGGTAAGGAACAATTTTTTCACACATTTTTGCTCCTTTATTGCCTGTCTCTCAGTCTTATGTAAAACATCATCTTGGATATTTCCTCATATATTTGTAACATTAACCTTTGTGTTTCATTGTGTTAATGTCACTTGAAATATTAATCCAGCCTAGGTATGCACACTGGATGCAAAGAGTTAAACCAAAGCTATAGCTGATATTTTTTTAGCTATAGGTTTTAAACGTTGAATTATTGCTTGGTCTTAATGCTGCTGACAGTTGAGTACCCAGAAATATTTGTATGACACAGTATATAGCTCAAGGATATTTGCATTTTAAAGTAAGATGAATAGAACATGGATTCCATTGGCAGATAGTTATATCTGAGAAGCATAAAGAGAAATTCATAATTAAGAACGTGTATAAAGAAAGGAGACTTCATCCTTATTATCATATTATTTCAACTTATGAAAGAATCATTAGAATTAGGCCATGTTTCAAATTCTAAGTTATTGATGCAAATAAATAGTTTTAAATTTATTTTTAGGTTATTTCTGTTATATCTTTTATGTTTGAGGTAGATTTCAATTCTCTAAATTATAAAATCAGTGATGTATCATTTTTAAAGAGTATATTTTCTGATTTAAAAATGTTATAGAACTTATGCTGTATTTCTGACTTTTTAACACTGGAAACTGAGAGTAAGTTATCCCTACAACGGTCCAAGGAGGCCAGTAGGGTTGTGAGACATCAAGGCTGCCACATTTTCTAGACAGTTGACTCACAGATGGTGGTGAGGTTACTTTGTGCTCTTTTATGTTTTTTAGAATACCAGATTATAGACAAGGTCCAGACACACAGTAATCCTGAGTGTTATACACCATGGTCAAAAACCTTGTAGTAATCCACCAATTCCACTTGTTCCACAATCAACCCTTTGTTGATTTTCACATTTACTCCTTATTGTAGATTTGTGGCGCATTCTACTGATTTTAATTTCTCTTACATTAATGTGACCATGAAATATCCATTGCTTCTTTGTTTGCAACACATTTCTTTGTATTTGTGTCATACCAACACACCATATTTTTTAGAAATTTTATGGTATCCTTACTCCATTTGAAGAAACTATTTATTGTGTGAATGGATACATGAACCCTGAAAGCTGTATAACAAAATGAGATTATTGTAGGACTTGATGACATTTTGTTTCCAGTTATATATGTAGATTGTCCGTGTCATTCATTCTGAGTGTATATATGAATTTCTGAGATCAGTTACAGGAATTTTTCTTACTTCTAGAGAAATGATAATTTGAATATTTTGATGGTTTAACATTACTGAAAACATAAGACCATGAATAAGCAATTTGTAGTGTTGCCTTTTTGTTCAGTAGAGCCCTAATTATCCATTGTGCTTCTGTAAAAGATAGCAGAGAAAATAAAATATTCATATTTTATTGGGAAAATTTCACCATTTAAAAATAGATATCATGGCTTTTTCTACAATGAATAGCATTATAATCTTAAAATGTTCATTTAAACATAAATCAATCTTTTATTTGGCTAATGCAGATCGCTAGAATGTCTATCTTACTTGCTTCATCTTGGAGGTCAGACTGTGATCAACACTCTACATACTATTAATATCACACCCAAAACGTGGGAGTGGATGAAACTCATATCATGTTGTCAGTACATACATATTGTTAGAACGATTATTTTATTGATTCTTAGATTATTTAATGATAATTTTTCAGCTGTATATGTTTTGTGATGTCTTAGTAGGATGATTGTGTGAATTACAAATTGGATAGGATGTGGGTGAAATTGTTATGGCCTATTGTAAGGTTTTGTCCCAACAACTGCATGTAGGATTTGAGGGAAAACACAGAAACTCTCATAATAGATGGTCTCTACTGAGATTAAAACTTGGACGTTCTTGAATGTGTAATAGGAATGCTGTCTATTCAGCTGTAACATTCAGTACACATTTTTAGATATTTGGACAGTAAAGGTCATTTATGACCACATATTTTGTATTTTCTACAAGAATCTTAAAAGATACATGTTTATAGAGGTGCAAAGACTGCGTAGTGCACAAGCAGATCTTACATTATATATTATATTAGGAAAGAGTACTTCTTGAGACATATTGGTCAATAACACCTGAATGAAAACTTTCCTGTTTTAGACATAATAATTAGTAGCTGTTCTGAGACATTTCTCATGGACCTTGTTTGGATACAAGCATGTTTCATTTGTCAAAATGTTACTAAAGTCAGAATGCACTGAGAATGCAATATTGTTGAATTCAAATAATGATGCCTTTTGTTTAATGTGTATATATTAGCTTTCCTTATTTTTTAACTTTTTTTTCTGTGTTCATTAAATCTGATCAAGATTAATAATTTTACTTAGGGCTCTACAGTTGATGTAATATTACATAATACCATATGTCATTCTATCAGTATACTGACAAAATAAATTACCATTACTCTGATTTCTGCCTTAAAGTTAAGATATACGTGTATGTAATTATTCTTTCCTTACAAGATATATTCTACTGCACTGTCATTAAATACAGTGAACCGTCAATGCTGTGAACTTACCTGTAACAGGCTAAATCCTGGACAATGGGCTGTTGTATTTATACGGTCATACATAACTACTGTGTACAAAAGTGCAAAAATGTGTTTCCTTCATTTCACTTTTTGTAGGTTTTACTGTAATTGCTCTTACATCTGCAGTCCTATAGATAAACTGTAATAAATATCCAGAATTTCTAAGCCTCTGATATTATAAGTTAGATTAGTTTGAATATATTATATTGAATTTCACTCATCGAACTCTTTGGTCAATTATTTATCTCTTACATCATGTAACAAGATTCTTGTTTGTTATTTATATATTTATATATAGGTTAGCATGAAATTGTATAATGTAACATGCTTATTTAGGTACTGCCTTGTAAGCTGATTCATGTTCTTCTTAATTTAACAAGATCCGTGGTACTGTTTTAATGTTACAATTGAAAAGCTGTTAGCGAATGTAAAATCACTGTCCTTCTCACTCCATTGATTTATTGATGGATGATATCTTGTTATTGTTGTTGTTTTGTTGCCTGTGGCAACTCCTGCAGGTCGCAAACGTAGATTAGGTTTTGGGCGTAAAGGCAAAACTTCATTTACCGTCCATAGAAGCGAAGAAGTTTTGCCAGACGACGTACGCCACCTGGTGAAACAAGGCTCAAGTGCGTCAAGTGATGGGGAGGGATCACAGGATGGAGACAGGTTCGACACCACCATGCCTTTCCTACCATATCTTTCCCTTACAGATGCCTACTATAGGCAGTGGCCTATCATAAAATAACTGATGAGTTCACTGCAGCTTCTTAAGGTATAATATTATCCATCTGAGACTACATTACAGCAGATGGATTCTGATAAGGCTTTATTTTGTGAATAAACCGATTTGAACTGCAGACCCCAAATCTGTGCTGTGTACAGTTAGCTTTACATAATGGAATTGTCACTTATCAGTTATTGAAATGGAGGTTACTTTGGGATGTACCTCAAACTTTCAATCTGTCACAATTAATAATCATTCATTTGATGTCACCGTTGAGATTATTTATTTGTGTTGAGGCTTTAGTGTTTTTGTTTAATCATGCTTCTGAACCCTTGATCTGGTTTCTAGGAGATTGTTTATGCCTCAGTCAGTTGAGGATACAAATACAAAATCAGGATAGCTGCTTTACATGTTATTGGGTTGGAAATAGTTTTGCTTGTATTAATTTAGAACTTCTTAAATTGTGCTCACCTAGGTATACTCTAACACAGAAGAGTGTATTTAAAATGTATGCGAAGTACAGAACTTGTAGTAGTTCAAATAGAAATTTTAACTGTAATTAAATCTTGGTTCTAAATATGTAACAGATCTTACAGAAACTGAAGTGTAATATAAAATTTGCTTTTTACCGATGCAAAGATTGCTTTTCAGTCACGATCATAGACAGTTTAATGTCTTTGCATGAATCATGCTTGCAACATATGAAGCTTAAATCTGCAGACTATGAAGTAAGATTCATATGTAAATAAAGGGGCAGATTTCATGTCACACATAATTATACATACAATTTAAATTTTCGTATATAAAATACACTCAGAACTCCAAAGAAAGAAGAAAGCGGGAAGAAAAGAAATAAATATTGGAGGAGAGAAAAAGAAAAGAAATAAATTGCGGTTGTTTATTTATTTATTAAAATTTAAAAAATACAAGTATTGTTAGTAACTCAGATGAAAAGCACAAAATTGTGGAATGGATAGTGAATAATGAATTGGAGATGAAATGAAAGGAATTGATCGTGGCCTAATTTGTGGTGCTATCACATCATTGCCTGGAGGGACTGAAGAAAACTATGAAAACCCTTAGTCAGGATGGCTAGCCTCTGGGCCAAGATTTGAACCCAGGACCTCCTGAATAAAGTGCTGGAGTGCTACCTTAATGACTGCAATGTTTGGTGACAATTTTAGACATTGGATAATATTGGATAATAGCAAACAGACAGGGTGTGATGATGGGAGCTGGACTGAGTTGACTCAGGTCAGGGTCCATTGCTTGGCTGCTGTGGACATGGGGATGTACCTTCATGTTCCATAAAAGCAGGGAATATATAAACTGATGGAATACTATCAACTAGTCAAAGAAGGCTTTGTTATATGGGATTATTATTCATTTCAGCATATTACCCATTTCAAAACATTATAGTTGACTTGCAGTATTGACATGGAAGAATGGTAGTAATCTGAATAATAATTCAGTTCAATTATTTATTTATTTGCATGCTTACTGAACAGCCAAGTGGTCAATTATAAAACAAGTATTGAAATAAAAAACACATACATGCAAACAAAAACAAAAGACAGGACAAGGCAGCTTGTGTTAATTAGACAACAACTGTATAACTGCTGGCACATCTGAACTTACTGAATTAAGTTCAGCTGTGCCTTCAGTTATGCAGTGAGAAAGAATATGTATGAATACAGTCATATTCGATGGTGGTGGTGGTGGTGGTGGTGGTGGCAAAGATGATAACAGTAACAATAAAGGAAACCATACTTATCCTTTGAAACCCTAAAACACTTCGGAATACATTAGGCTTCCATTTTTCAGTCATTTTTGTTTGCCTTGGAAAATAGCATTCCCTCATAAAATACAAACAAAATAAGAGTTAATTTTTATGCATTTTAATTTATTTGATGTGTAGAGGAATACAGCTTTATGGAAATCAGTGGCAGAGTAAAATCATTAAGGAATGAAACTTATATTCCTTAGTCTCTTAGTTCAAATATTCATCTCCAGCTAAGAATTTGAGCTTTGTAACAAATGCGTTCATAGTTGTTGTACCATACCTTAAGTTCACTCCATAAAAAACTGTCTGGTTTCTGAGAGTATGTATATATATATCAAATAATTAATTTCATAGTTTTCTATAATTAAATTGAATAATGCTTTTATTTCTAAATGTGTATGTTTTGAAAGTTTGAAGTACTCTCCTTTCTAAGTGAGATTTATCCTGTTACCTCACCTTCATCCACTAAACTATTAACATATGGCCATCCTTATACCAACTCCACATACCAGATTCATGGGATATGGAAGACACAATAACACTGCCATTCAGCTAACAGCACTGTCTTTAGGGAGAAGAAATGTAACACACTGACTGTTGCTGCAGTGCCCAACTACTAAAACCTTATTTCTGTATAGTGGCTCACAGGCTTTTATTATTAGCAATGACTGACACCATTTACACCAATTCCACTTCCAACTACTCCTTTTAGTCTGCAAGTCTGGAGGAGTGAGTAATAATCCATCAGTAGTAACAGTAGTAACACTTCGAAGTAACCTAGTATGCTTATCCTAAACATATTTAATAATTTTGTTTTTGACAATGTATTGCATTCATAACCCAAAAAGTATATTTTCATCCATTATCATACCTATATTTCAGTGAGAGAACATACAAAATGTTATGATCTGCATTCAAAATTATATGCAGAATTAATTTTGTCTTAATTGATCACACTCAATATGAGATTTTTCATGTTACATAAAGTTTGTAATTTATGGAAGAGGTAGCTAAATTTTCAGACCCACTCATATTCAGAAATTCATAGATTTTAAAATTCAGTGGATATGTATAGAATTTGCTGTTAAAATGTAATACATTGCCTGGAGAAACGTAATTGTAGAAGATGACTGCTTTAATATTTGTTGAAATGCTTCTCCTCCTGGCTTTTTACAGTCGGTTAAAATTACTGTAAATCTTACACATTTAGATTTGTTGGTAGTGGCAAAATGTAGTGGCTTTTCTGGGTGCTCTTTTTATGGTCTAGTGATCAAAGTTAGGTGCTACTGGCTGTGCTGAATGTCCACTTCGCTCCTTAACAGACATAGAATCAAGCATTTTGTATTATCTATTGTTCCTGTAGTGTTGTTTCTTTATTTAATGTATAGACCACTAGAAGTACTGTCCCATTTATATCCACCATTTTGTCATATTTTTGTGAAGTTGCCATAAAAATGAAGCTATTTATACTGAATAATCATGATTTATACTGGATACTGAATTTATACTGAATAATCATGATCAAAAATCCTGATTTGGTAAATTATAATACAAAGGCTCTTGTTCTTAAAAGACAATACAGTGCTCAGTTTATTACTAATTAGCTACTAGTTACTAGCAAAAGCAGCAGAATTCCTGTGATTTAAGAGATGATCTTAATTTTGTGGCATGCAGTTCCTGTATTCCCTTTCTCAGGATGTAATATAAAAAGATTTTTCCCTGGAAACTGAAATACTTAAAATGAGAAGCTAGAGATAATCTTTACTATTCCTAAAGAATAATTACTAAAATTACTAAAAGAAAAGGAACATTTTAAACAAATATAAAAAATTACCTTTTGTAATTCATTTCTTGACATTTCTACAGCATCCTATCCATTTATACACTGCAAAAACATTTGCTATTTTCTGGAGGTACTAAAATTTACTGAAAATTGTCTATAATAATTTCTGTGCTGAATCTAACACACAGTGACTATGTACGTACTCTTTCATCCTTAGCAGAAATTAGGAGAATTCAGCATGAGATGTAACTTGACAAAATGTTGGTGACATGAGTTGTGCTTCTATGGCTTGTAATACCTACATGGAGAGATTAATATATTAGTGTCATATATAAGGGCATGCAGAGTAGTGCCATCTAGGGAGTTATAAATAGATAAATTAGAGTAAATAGTGCTGTAACACAAGTTTCAAGAGGAGAGATGAGAAAATTATAAGCATCTTAAATTACCAGGTAAGGAAATTTTGCCTACCTTTAATTCTGGCAACCCCCCTCCCCTTTCAAGTTCCTGTTTACACACACACACACACTCACAGTATTCTATGAAACATACAATTACATCAAAAAATGTCAATAATACATATTTTTAAGCTTCTTTGTGCTTACCTCTCAGAACTTCAGATAAAGATGTTAGATACAAACATAATTGCTTTTCATTGTATATGCCATATCATTTTTATATGTGCATTTGCAAAAGAATTAACTTTAATAAGGTAACAGCAGTATCTGCATATAAATTATTAAACAGTTCTGTTAAAGTCAGATACAGTAATTTATTTCAGTAAAAACTAATCATTTTGGTTTTTGTATAATGATTTATTTAACATGATTTTCACTTATAAATACTGTAGCGTGAATTTTACATATGTGGTATTCAGGTAATTCAACAGAATCTGTGTTTTTACCAGCATGTTTGATATTAATATAGTGACTTCAGGATTGTCTGAAATATAGCAACATGAATTTGTAACAGAACCAATATTCCAAAGGAATTCTAATTTGGTAATACAATATTTATTCCATCACACTGAATAAAAAGAGAAAGTCTATCACTGAATTTTAAATTATTGTATTCAAAATCAAACAGTAGAATACTGCCATCTTCTTGAGATGAGCTGAGTATTGAATCTGAAAATACAAACACAAACATCAGATGTACTGGGTGCATAAAGCTGGCTCTTAAATGATACTGAATTTTATTACTTATGTTTAAAAAAATTGCCACAATAGTCACAAATACATGCCATTTTCATGATGCCAATATGACCCTGTAACTTCCTCTCCTGACCATGAAGGCTGCTGGGTTTGGAGAAGTTTGTCACCTTAATTTGTGAGTACTATTGCATATGTCTCTCTGAGAAAAAGAAATGAGAATACCTGGCCAACAAGAATGAACTGAATGAATGATTACAGATTTGCTATGCTATAAAACATACATTAATTTATTTTTCAGAGCAACTTAATGGTCTATTAAAATTAATGTATTTAATATATCGATATATTACATGTTGCTTTCAGTGTCTCCTGTGCTTACATTTGTGGCTGAATTTTGCTGTGTGGAATATGTATGTCTTGGCCTAAGACACATGGATTCTTTTCACTAGATTAAGCCTAATACTGAATATTTACATTGTTAATCCAATTTAACTTGCAGTCACATTTTACAGGTTTCACCTGCACTAAAATTATATTTTAATTGTATATTTTAAGTGAATATCATACTACAGATATTGTAAATTCTAAATTCTGAATTAAAAGAGAAAAGCATATTATTCCCAACAGTTTCTACAAACATTTATGATATTTGGTATATGCATAGAACTTGAATTTTAGCTACCATATTTCTGAGTAGACTGTTATTATTTTGCAGGTACTGATAATTTCATAGACGTGTTTGTTTCCAATTATACTAAAAATAAGTGAAACGTCGAATGTTACATGATGTCTCCATATTACAAACCTCAATAAGAGTTAAATTCATCAGAATTGTAATGCGTAAAATTAATTATTACTTTTCTTTATACAATTTCAAGGATCTTCAACTTGTTAGGTGTTATTATTAATAGTCAATGTGTAGTTATTCAGTATGAGCAAATCAAAATAAATTACATGTGTGTATACATGTATACATATATATTAGAAGTATGAAGTCAAAATGTGTAAGTAATATTAATATTTTTATTTGCTTAATGGAAAGTTATACTAATTATACTTTCCAAACATGAATCTGTGGGTCCAGTTATTGGCTGGTGTTCTCATTACATTATTTTGTAGAGGCTTATTTCCCTTACTCCTTCTCACTTGCTTTTGAAAATCAACTTTTAAATTGATTTGGCAATAACAGAACCCCTCTTCTGCTGATTACTTTGCTTGTTAAGGAAACACAAAAGTCTGTGTTATTATTTTGTTGGTTGTATATTTTCGTACCTGCAGAAGGTGGCACTAGAAACCGTAGCTCCCCTAGCAGCAAGAGTATTCAGCGGTCGCAGGAAGTGGTTCCACCACTACGATGCCACAACCACCCCTTCGTTGCGCCCTCCACAAGCCACAACCTACCCTCTAAACACTTCACCACCGGTGAGGTTGGTGCAAGCAGTCTCAACAGCATTTCTAGTTCAGAGGGATCCACGTAAGTAATTCTGTCATGAAGGCATGTCAGGAAAAACTAAACCAAGGCAAAATCTGGAGAATATGAGAGATGGGAACAATAACAGAATCTGAATTTAAATTGAAAGCGTGGATCCTCAGTAATTAGGGTTTTGTCATTCATGCACTTTCAAAAGCAAAGAATCATTGACTTCCCTAAATTATTTATATGAGGCATTGTGAAGAAATTAGACACATAACTCAAAATAGGTTGACCATTATTGTGTTTTCATTTGTTCTGCTTCTTGTGGCTAATAGATTGTATCCATAAACACACACTGAAGCACAAACCTCAGAAGTTACTGCTTTGAATTTTAGTCAATAATTAGCTTTTCTGTCACAATTTTTATGCAGTTTTAAGTGAAATTAGTATGTGTTTGTGGCAGACTCTTATAAGTGGTTTTCCTCCAACTGATACAATGCATTATCTTGGTATATGAAAGAGCTTGAATCCTATCTTTTTTATAAAGTTCAACAATGCCTCCAACTTGAAAGGAACACTTGTGTTTTAATAATTTTTTTATTATAGTTATTTGAAGCTATTTTTGCTAGATATTTTAGTTTGTGTTCTACTACAATTTTAAATTGGATGATCCATGAACATTCACAATTTTGCAAGAAACTGTAACAGTTAGATCCTCTTCAATTAGTATGTATCTCATCAGTAGTTTTCCTTATTTAGAACCTTTATTTAATAAGTTTATGTCAGTTGCACTGTTATTCAGAAATTGCTGCTGGAAGCTGAATTTTGTCTTACCATAACTAAGGTAGTAAAGGAAAATTATGTATGAAATTCCTTACCTTCTCATTCATGTACATTTTGAGAATAACCTGTACTGTCCATCCATTGGCTATTTAAAAACACATTATAATTCACGGAGGTTATATAGTGTTGACTAAGACGAGCTGAAAGTTTGATTATGTATTGCTAGCTCAGTAAGAGACCAAAGAAGTGATTGTTGCCTATTTCCAAATATGTATTTCAGTTTGCTGGAGGTACTGAAAAAAGCCACAAGAAGTTTAGGCTAGATAATAGATGCTATAGCTGAGATTTAGACCATTGACTAAGCAGTATTTGGGTTAACCCGTTGAGAAATATCTGTTCTATGTGTCCCATTTTAAACATTAACAACTTTATTTCACTTACTAAACTGTTGTTTTCAAAAATAAAGTTTTATGCATTTTTTCAATGTGACAGTGGCATATTATTAATAACTGTTTATCAAAATTTGGTATTATAATTTTTTAATAATATGCATATTTTATTACATTTAGTTTGAAAATTTTGAATCACCTTATTATTATTCATATCCCTTCTAAGCAGATTATTTATTTATGCTCATTCTTATAAAATATACCCCTTAAAAAGTTAAGTTCTAAAATTACATTTTTATTGTGGAGATGCTAGTACAAGGTTCATTTGTTTATATAGACTAAAACATTTTAAAAATATATTCCTTATCAGTTTATATGATTTGTAAATAAGCAATATTTACTGTCATAGAAACAGATAATGCATTGAAGAGTACTGTGTTCTGTGATGTAATACTGCGTAGTCAGGCAAAAGTTCATGGAAGTTTTGGAGTAATGTACTACCTCCATCTTCGGGGTTGAAGAATAAGTCAAGAAAGGAACCAACAAGAAGCATATAAGAAGCAGAGTGCTTGCTGCCCTTCTTGTTATTTTTTTCTTGACCTACTCTTTGACTATGAAGATGGAGGGAGTATGGTCCCCCCCAGAAAGTAAGTAGACTTTTGCCAGACTACCCAGGGGTACATTCCAGAGATTCTGCTCCTCATGGTTACTGATGTGAGAACCTCAAATACAAGACAATGCATTGTAAGGTGTAGATAAAATCATCCCCTGTGCTCAAGCACCATCACATTCTTAACTTACATGTGTGATGGAGGCGACTGTTCATCTTTGTACTTTGTCTGCCTTTAACCTTCAGAAAGAGCTACCAGATGCATGCTGAAATGAGGTTGGTTGGCCTCTGAGCCTGAAAGTGCTGGTGAAGAAATATATTATAAAACTTCTACTGGTAGATCAAACATAAACGAACACTAAAATATTTTAATGTTTGTGTTTCCCAAAATTAGAGTACCCTCAAGTGATTAGCAATGACAGCATTAAGAAAAAACATGATGTTTTTTTTATATTTCATTGAAGTTGGAGCATATAAATGCTAATGATTAAAGTAACAGATCCAAAATTATATAATCTATAGTATTTTCCCTATAATATGGACAGAATGACTTTAATATAAATAATGTATTGATACAGTGGTATGTAGTATAGTTACTGTGTATATTACTACTTTACCTACTTGCTGAATTTCATAAAAGGACTTGACACATTATTCCCTCCTCTCTGCTTCTTCCATTGTTTAATAGATGTTACAGCTTGCATGCTCCTGCACAGTGCTTGCTGGCTTCTGCTTGCTTGCTTAGTAATGTTATTTAATAATATGTTTAATATTTTTTTATGACAGATATCTTTAATCTTTGTAATGATTTAGCATGACTATCTCTTCTCTCTAATTATTTCTGTGCATTCTAATGTAATTCTCTATCTAGTTTGGTTTCAGGATCACTGTCAAGCACTGAGTCCTTGAAAGATCCTCCAGATGTGAGTCAGCAAAGCTGAAATATCTTGAAGATTTTGTTTTTCAAGAAATCTTAAGATAATAAGAACTTTTCAAAACATCTCATATAGTGCAGTTGAACATCTAAATTTTGAAATAAATTTCATTTGTAGTTTTTTTTGTATATATGTATTCTGAAGGTTTCACAATTTATGTCATAAACTCTTTAATGGTTTCCTTCTAAAGGCAAATCTGTGTATTCTTAAAGATGATACCAGGGTACCTGTGAACAATGGATAGGAATCTTCAATGACTTGAAGTATCAGAAATAATAAGAAAAGTGACTCACTTTTTCTAAGCCTGTGGTGGTAAAGATTATATAGAATTCCCTTCATGAACTTTCCACCTTTCGAAAATCCAAGAATTTGGATTCATTTATAAGAGCATGTGTGGTATAAAAAGTTGAAACAATGTGACTTTGACAGAAGGTTATTGCTCATTTCCTCAATGTTAGTGGGTGATCATTGCTAGCAGTCTAGCTTCTTGGAGAGCTAGAAATATGTAATACTGGAGGAATGTATAAAAATTTGGTTGCTATATCAGTGGAAAAGGATAGATATTTTACTGGTAATCATATTTCTTATTTTTTAATGTTTGATGAATTGAACATTTTGATGAAATTTAAGCAATAAGGATAGAAACAAGGCCACAAACAAGTGCTTTAAAATTATGAACTTGTACTCTGCCATGCTGGTGACCTTTCTGAAAGTGAAGTTTCACTCTGAAGTATTCCATTTTAAAACTGCGTTAATTCTAAACACTTTTATCAAAAGAATAGTATACGGTTAATACTGATTCAACTGGAACTTCATTTATGTGGGTATTCAATGCAGAAATATGAGTTCTGTTTTATGTAAATGATTATTAAGACCTGAACTTCAGAAAATTTAGTCTTAAATTCAATCTCTTAATTTACAAGTGTCTTATTTGACATGAGACTTAACATTACATACTAAAGTACACTGATCATTAACAATGTTTAAAATTGATAAGTATTTTTAATAGATTTATATTTATGTTATCATACTTTGCTTAAGGTAATCATACAGTTTTTGTGTTTCTGATAAACTTATTTATAAGTCCATAGATATTAGTGTAATATAGACTAAAGCAAATGTATCATCCACTTCAAAGAGATGACTTTTGTTACAGTCTTTACTTCATATTTGCTGGAGCATCATCTGAGTGGTTTTCTTTAGCACTTCATTCATATTTTCTCCAGACAGATAGCACCTTTTCTCACTTCTTTATGATTTCATTAATCCCACTCTACCCTGCCTTGCCATTTGACAGCTGACATACTGCACATATTGCCCAGCGAAAGTTAATGGTGGGCAGTTCCTATTTTTCTAGAGTGCTGATTTATATATTGAGTCTTCCATATTCTCATGATATACCATCTGATGTTTGAATGTTGTTATCACTGGATGTTCTGTCTGTATGTTTGTGTTGTATTGTAGATAAACTGTTCTGCACTCCAGGAACTGAAAGCATAAGATCCTGCAAGTTTCTGGAAAATCTCTTTTAAGATATTAGTATTAGACATATTCACAACATCCATTCACACACGCACACATTCACATAAGATGAAGTTTTGGTTCAGTTGAAACTAGCCTTGTTTCCTGAAAATGAAGACTTTCAAGCCAGTAATGTTTTTCTCCTCTAATAACTTTAAAGCAAATGGAACAAATTAAAATATTCGATTTAAGATCACCCTAAAGTCTCTCCCGTCATAAATGTCAGATGGCAATTACATGAACTCCTGAAGTGCTGTACAACATTTTGGTTAAAAATTATTAGAATTAAAAGGGATTATCAAATTAAGGAAGTTGGGATGGTCAGGTCGTGTAACATGCATTGGTGAGAAGAGAAATACATTACATAATTTTGATATGAAAATTTTAAGAAAAGATACCACCTGGATGACCTACATTTAGATGGGTGGAGAATATTAAAATTGGTCTTACAGAAATAAAATGGTAGTGTGTGGACTGGATTCATGTGACTTTGGGGTTGATGGTGGGCTCTTGTGAACATGGTAATGAAAGTTCGGATCCAAATCATGCTAGGAATTTCTTGACTAGCTGATCAACTTTTAGCCGCTTAAGAAGGACTCTACTCCAGTTAGTTTTGGTTTTAATAAATAATGTGGCATAACTGACTAATTCTACAAGCATAATATTTTCTGGTTTTCCTCAATGACTGAACTTAAGATTTCTTTTAAGATCATGCACAAAACAACATGGTACTACTGCAAAATATAATTTTTTTTTATTTCAATACAATAACTGCAGTGGTTGGGCATCTGAAAGCAGGTATGGTTAGAGAGACTATAAATACATTTTTAATTTTCATGTAATGATTTTAGTGTTAGTTGAAAAGTAATAAATGTGGTAACAGATTTTGTGTTTGTAGAGGTATGAAACTTTGTCTCTGACATTAAGGAAAGAATATAGACTGAGGATATTTATGAACAGAATGCTAAGGAAAATATTTGAGTTGAAGATGGATGAAATAGTAGGTTGGGGAAAATTGCATAGTGAAGAGCTTCATAACTTGTACTCTTCACCAAATATAATTGGAAAGATCAAGTCAAGGAGGATGAGCTGGGAAGGGCATGTGTCATGCAGGGGGGAGAAGAGGAATGCATTCAGGATTTTGGGTTGGAAATCGGGAAGGAAAAAGAGCACTAGGAACACTTATATGTAGGGATGTAGGTCAGAAGATAGTATTAAAATGGATCATAGAAAAATAGGTTGGGGTGGCATTAACTGGATTAACCTGACTCAGGATAGGGACCAGTGGAGGGCTTATGTGAACATGGTAGTAAACCTTTAACTTCCATAAAATGTTGGGAAATTCTTGAGTAGCTGAGCAACTGGTCGCTTCATAAGAATGACTCCTATCCATGGAGTTAGTTTTTTTTTTTAATTTTCTTAGTGGGGGGTTGGAGTCCAGCTGAGTCCACTCGGCATGGCAGCCACTGATTGGCCTATTGTAGCCTGCCCCAGGTGATTATGATGATGGAGAATTTGGTGGCATTAAGATTGGCAGGGAAAACAGAAGTACTTGGAGAAAACCCGCCCCAGCGCCACTTTGTCCACCACAAATCCCACTTGACCAGACCCAGGATTGAACCCGGGCCACTGCAGTGGGAAGGCAGTGACAAACCGCAAGTTAGTTAGTTAGTTAGTTAGTTACTTACTTACTTACTTAATTAATTGTTTGGTTATCTAACTAAGTCTGTGAAGTTTTGGTTGCATATTCAGTTATGTTAATTGATCAATGGGATTATTTGTGCAGTTTGATGTGGTGTTATATTACAGGTTGATCAACATTTTGCATATGACACATATTCATATAATGAAATTATAAATTCTTTTGCATGTAATAGCATCTAGAGTATGATGAGTACTAAATTTCAGGAAACAAGGCTTTTTCTAGACTGCTTCTGTATAAATTATTTAAGGTTCAGATCTCTTACATGGACATCATAACTGTTTCTTAACTGGATGGTGGGAGGTCATATCTTTTGAAAAATGTAAGATACAAAAGAAAATGGAGTGAAGCATTTGTGTTTGCTCAAAAAGGGGTCACCAAAAGAAAAATGTGGGGATCAGTGTTATAACAAATTGTTCAAGTGTTGTCTGGTTCTGGAAGACTTGTCATAATTCTCTTTTCTCTTTTCATATCATTATCACAAAAATTTAATCCATTGTTTAGTCATAGGAGAATTTCAGAAATGCCTACAGATTTCTTACCTTGACTGGAATTATTAAAATATTACTGTTGACTTGATCGTTTATTAGGTAATTGGCACTTACATGCTAAATTTCCAGAATCTTAAAAACGTAGTGAAGTTAATTCACTTGCAATGCGATCATTGTCACTTCATTAATCTTTTCAATCAGAAAGTCTTCCAGTATGAAAACATATACCTATGTATTATAATCACATTTAAGTCCTCTAGGGCAATCAGTTTCATTGGTAGGGATAAAGCTCCATTGTTTTGGAAATTACATATTTCTGTAATTCATTAGGAAGAATGTGGATTTAGATGGTTTAAGAACAGTGTACTAAGCATAACATTTTGAGTTAAGAAGGAGGAAGTAACATGAGAGCGGAGAAAATTGAATAATGAGGATTTCCACATTTTGTGCCCTTAACAAAGTATTATTAAGTTAACCAGATCAAGAAATTAATGTTGAATAGTGCATTTGGAATGCATAAGGGATATGAGAAATTTGTATAAAATTTTAATTGGAAAACCTGATGGTATAGGACCACTTAGGAAATACAGATATAGTTGATGTGATAATATTGAAATTGATTTTAAAGACATGAAGTGTGAGGGTATGGGATTGGTTCATTTGGCACAGAATTGGTTCCAGTTATAGGCTCTTCCATATATAACAATAAACCTTGAGTTTGCATAAGAGTTGGGGAGTTTCATGACCAGTTGAGCAGTTATCAACTTCCATAGAAAGCCTCAGCTCCCTAGAATTAGTCCCATTCATTACATCAATTCCTGATTCCAATATAGCAGGGTTTTATTCCATTAGCACTGCTGATCATCTAGTAATGTTGTGTTGCATTTAGTCACTATCATTCTATGTTAGAGGTATAACAAGAGCTGGGTTTTACAAAGAATTTCAAGTTATAACCATGCATAATATTCCACCATGTATAACATACTACTTACATGTGTTGTGTGTCAGGTGGTCTCCATCACTGCGGTTAGCCCAAGATGGCGGCCAGCTGTCAGATTTTATAGATGGGCTGGGCCCAGGTCAGCTTGTGGGTCGACAGGTTCTAGGTGCACCTGCACTTGGTGATATTCAGCTCAGCATGTGCTACCAGAAAGGTTACCTTGAAGTGGAAGTCATACGAGCTCGAGGCCTTCAAGCACGGCAAGGCTCTAAAGTATTGCCAGGTAAATTAGAGGCATGCAGACATATTGTTTGTTTGCAGTTATCCAAGATATTGACTGTTTGTTTGTTTCTTGTTTTATTTATGACAGTTACATTTCTTAGCTGCATAGGTTATACAGTGTGGAATGGTAGGATGAAAGTGAATGATGAAGTGAAATGGATGAGGAAGGAAGCACACATATCCTATTTTGATACTTTGGAATTTGACTGCAGGAGCTGAAAAAATAACAGAAAACCTTGTTGAGTATAGCAGGTTTCTAGACTGAGATTCAAACTCAGGATGAACTGGATATGAAACAGTAGTATTAGTCATTTGATCACAGCTTTCAGTCTGTATGTTGTTGGAATACATAAGACATGGTTTAATGACACTACTTTAATAAGCTTCTCATGGAATGATGTAATGAACAGAGATTATGTGCATTAGCTTGCCAAAGTGTGTATTTTCAGGCTTAAAATATGTCATTTTGATTATTATTCTAATATAGTCATACAGTTATTGTGTTTCTGGACATTGTTCATCGTCCTTTTTTTTTTATTTAAAATAAAACAAGCAATATTTTGGAGGCTGGATTCTGTCTCTCTCATCAGGTGAAACCTACTCAGTTGGGTCCAGTCAATAGAGCTAGTCCCTAACTCTGGACATCAGCGCCAATGTAAGATAGGATATATAAATCAAGCACAATGTAAACTGTCTGTTAAAGAGTTAAAACAAACATTAAAACATTAAAATAACTCCACACACAGATGAGACCTAGCACCTATGAGTATGAATATGAGGGGTGAGCCACAAAAACCAGCCCTTGCACTGTGACCTTCAATGATCTATTGTGCTTCCCCTTTGGATTAACCCTTTATTAATCCTACACTTCGAATGAAATGTAGGACTTTGGGTTTGAAACGTTCTTTCATATATCTGATTCGACCAAAGGCATTTTTTGTTTTGTTATTTTTTAAAACTTCTGCCATTTGCAGTACACTCAACTCTCGATTATCCAGGATAATGGTGGGGATGGAAATCACAATTAATCGAAAACCCGGTTATGACAAATTTTATTAAAATTAATACTGTAATACTGTACCTTCATAATACTATAGGCCTACCTGTATTTAAATTTATTCAACCTCATTTTTATGTCATCTCATGGCCTATTTTATACTTTTTTTACATTACACCGAAGTATGAATTAGTTATTTCAATCACAGTGTTCGACAACATCCAACACTTTTTATGAATATTCATACTTAACACCTAACAAAATTTAATATTGTCGTTTGCTTTTTCTCGGCATTTTCCTTTTTATGGATATCTGTACGAAGCCTATGTAGTATTAACTTGTCACTTAATAAACTGTGCTCTTCACTCTCAAGATAGTCTAGTAAGGATTCCAAATGATCAAGAGCAGCACCCTATGATATTTTCTTACTAGCAGCACTGTCCACCTCTTCCTCATTCTCACTTTCTTCCCGCTCTTCTGGCTGCACCCCCCACTGAACTTACAATTTCGTCACTGCTTAACATTTCGAAGCCCGGCTCACCCGAGTCACAGTCAAACCACTCTCTTATATTTTTCTCATTTACTTCTTCACCACCATGAACTTGGTTAGTCAATTTTGTCAATTCTGTGGCTATCTCATTTTCACTGAATCCAGTGAATCCATGGATTTTGTCATCTTCATTAGTGATGAAAGGCATCAGTTTCTTCCATGATTTTTTCAATACAGATGGCTTTACTGTATCCCATGCTGTTGAAAGTTCGTATATGGCATCTAACATTGAAAAAGACTTCCAGAAACACGTCAGATCATTGCCTTCATCGATGTACTTTTGTAGCAAATTTGATCTGTAGATTCTCTTCATACTTGAGATAACTCCTTGATCCATTGGTTGGATAAGTGCGGTAACATTAGCAGGAAAATATTTCCATCATCTGACCTCAGGAGACTTTCGTTAGGATGTGAGGGCACATTGTCAATGAGGAGCACAGCTTTCTCAGGTAGGCCTTGGGATTTTAGATGGTCACAAACTTGAGGCACAAATTTAAAATCAAACCATTCTTTAAATATCGCTCTATTCATCCAAGCTCCTTTCTGATTAAAATAATGGATAGGCAGACTTGAAGCTACTATTCCTTTAAAAGAGTGTGGTCTTTTCGCTTTGCTGATAACTACTGATGTAAGTGGTGTGTTCCTGATGCAGTGATATTCTCAGTTTGGGTATACTTACCATCAGGCAGCTTGATGGTACAGTCCTTGTTGGTCGCTTGTTTTGCCATGACCCTCATGATTCTGGCACTGCCTGGTACATCATTGATCTGGCAGTACCTCCTCCATGAGGATCACATGGCTTTCCTTATTTATTTATTTATTATAACAGGTGAGGATTTCCTTATAGGTGTCCCACAGACCTGTTCTTTTTGATATATAAAATGGCTTTCTTATTTTAGCTCTTAGCTCACTCAGCTTGTTATTCCACCACGGTGCATTTGTTGGTAAATGAGTGGACTTGGCTGGACAATTATGATAATAGGACAAGATAATGGCCTGTTGCAGCTGGTCAACAGATTGATCTGTGTCCCTTATTGTGCGTATATTTTGTGAAATAGTCTCCAGATTCACCTTTAGGTTGTCCTTGTATAACTCCCAATTGGATCTCCTAGGATTCGTAAAGGTAACTTATTTTGTTGTTATGTGACCTATTTTAAAGCATATGTATCTGTGGTCCGGTAGAGACGGCTTGCCAGATACATGCCAATTACTTAGCAGGTTTTCTATTTTATCTGTCCCTAGTGTCAAGTCAATAATCTCTTTCCTATTGTGGACCACAGAGGTAGGTTCATTACCATGATTTAGAATATTCAGGTTTGAACTCACCAGAAATTCCATAAGGTTTTCTCCACTTGGATTGATGCCGGTGCTCCCCCACAAGATGTGGTGTGCATTGGCATCACGCCCAATGTTGAGTTGCTTTTTCCTGCTATAGCAGTAGTCTGTGGTGTCCCTCATTCCCTTAGTTGGTGGTGGTTCATCTGAGTCATATGGAAGGTAGACCGAAGCAACAATCAGCTCCATGCAACCTCCTTGATACGTGTATATTATCCTCACTGCTATTGAATCCCTAGAACAGAGCTCCAGCAAAGGTAAGGCATTAATATGATTCCTGATATAAACACAGGATCTTGCATTATTACCAGGTACAGCAGAGTAAACTGTTCCCCCCTGTGTTGGTTAAACCTCTTATTTGACCCATGTATAACCAAGGTTCCTAAATAAGTGCTACATGTGCCTTTCCCTCAGCTAGCTGCTGGCATAAAGTTACCATGGATTCTCTGCTGTGGTGTAGGTTAATTTGAAGGAATTTCATGGTATGTGTGTGAATTGTGTATGTGTATGGGTGTGTTTAAGTTTATATGTGTGTGTGTGTGTAACTTGTTTACTGTTCCGTCTTGGTCTCAGACTGGGTTCCATTTGTGGGGGTCCCCTGATCTGCTCTACTTTGGTCTGAAAGAGTGGGTACATCATCCCCCTCCCCCTCAGAGCCCGATTTTGAAGAGTCTATCACAGTTTCTTTTTAGTGCTGAGCTGCAGGGTCTTTTAGCACTTTAACAGTCTCCTGTGAGAGCCCTGTAAATATCTGAATATCTGGTCTTCCATATAATGGTATAAGAGTCCTGGTCTCTAAGTAGGATAAGCCTCTGGCCTTTCAGCTCAGATTGCTTATCAAATTATCTCCAGTGCTCAGTATGGAGTCCAGGATTAAGATGTGCAGTCCAATTCAGTAGCTCTTCCTGATTCTGGGCAAATTTGTCCCTAATCCTGAGAGCCACCTTAACAGGCCTGGGTAGGTTCATGGCATCAGTAGCCTTCAGCCTGGCCCTTGATTCCAGCCTGTACTTGTCGATGGCTTTGATAAGCCAATTACCAGACTGTTGATCGGCACATATATAAATAAGTGCACCTCCCTCCAGTCTGTAGGACTTCAGGTGTGGTAGTTCTCCTAATGGAGTCCCACATAACACCCCTCCCAGTACATCCAGAATGGAGTTCTGGTCATCTTCTGTAAGCTTATCCCTCAAGATAGCTACATTTATGTTGGTCACAGTCTCCTTATAGGTCCCTGGTCCCTTAGCATCCGTAGGCCTTTTTGGAGCTCTGACCGTTTCTATGGGGGTACTGCCCTCCGATCTTGGCCTCTTAAAGGTAAGGGTTTCTCCCTGCCTGGGCGAGCCTGCATTTCCTAGTTTCTGAATGCCCCCAGTTCCTGCTTCGCTTGCCCTAGTGCTTACCTTTTTAAGTTTCCACCTGGTGCATCCAGACAGTGCCTTCTTTGCCAGTCGGAGTCCACTTACTCCAGAGACATGGTGTCCCAGACCTTCTTCTACTGTATGTGTGCTAGAAGCACTAGCTCCCTGCAGTGGTATGTCAGTACTACTGACTCCCAATGGAAATGTTTCTGGTTTTTATTCAGGCAGGTTTCAAACTGCTGGTTTGCCCCTGTCTTTGGCTGAAATTTCAACAGCAGGTTCGCTGGTTGCAACCGGGCATCTTAATGGTGCACCAGAGCTTCCTCCCCCTGCTGAAGTATTTGTCGTAGGGATCCCCTTGGAGGGGAATCCCTCTTCTGTTTAAGGTCCTTATGACCGGTTTTTATTTTGGCACTTTTCATTTTGGTCCCACAAGTCATGAGGATATACAGTAGAAGGTCACCACTTGCAGCACCCCATACGGGTGGAAGGCATAAATACAATGGGGTGCTGCCTGATGCCTGGAGGGGATTGTTCATGACACCAGCTAATAACCACCCCAGTACCACACAGCCCTCAGCATGATGCCTCACACCTTGGCTTAGGTGGTTCAGTCCTGTTAAGGATAAACCCTCACAAGCCTCCAGGACCAAGTGCTGATTCAGGGGGAGGGGGTATCCCAGATGATCACTGGAAGTGCGAGACCGGCTAATCATGAGGTTGCGACCAGGGAAACCTGCATGAAGCAGTCGCCCTGGGGGTGGCATAAAAGCTCCCCACATTCCCACCCCTCCACATGGGTTGGTCAGGCCGTTTTGGAGTGCTGAGTCCAAAGGCTTGTGGCACCTTATCGGTACTCTAGGGAGACAGCTCAAGTAGCTGAAGGTACCCCCATATGAGTGCTCTCCCGCATTCATCCTGGGTAGACTGTAGTGATACCCAATAGTCATTATGCTGCTGCATGGGAGGCTCCAGTCGTAATGCCATTGCCCTTTATGGGAACTTAGCCGCCAGTCCCGGTTGGTCATACTAATCCAGACCCCGAGACTGTTATTGCCCAGCGGGACCATGAGGAGGTGAATACTGTGTCCCGATGCATCCCTGGTCCATGATGCATCCCCCCCAAAGACAGCCGTAGTTTGGCCAACCTCATAGAGGATGGTGTCATTACTACCTGTAACATGTGACCTAAGAAAGTCACAGTTATTCCCGCCAGACCTAGCACCTATGTCCATGCACTGCATTTCTAAAGGTCTCCTTGTTTCTTAGAGATACTAGGGCACAGTTATTATCCCATATGTTGAGGGTATCTCTGAGAAGTTGACATGCACTGGAAATTGTTTCACTGTCAGAACCATTTTCAAAACTGAACATACACTCCATGAGACACCAATGAAATCTTGACCAGTTGATGGCACCCAGCAGAGGAAGTAGTGTATGTACTATATCACATGTAATTTTGGCAGATGTTGTATCAGTGAAATAAGCAGAGTTTTAAGGGTAAGAATTAAGGAGCATAAATATAATGTGACCCAAAGTTTACTTGAGAAATCAAAATTAGCCCAACATGCACATAAAGAAGGCCACAAGATATGCTGGAAATAAGCAAAGGTCTTGCAGATGGAATCAAACACCGCCTACAGGAAATACAAGGAATCTGCCCATGTGTTTCTGGTAGATCAACTGATCAGTCAACCCAGCTTGGATGTCTCTCCTATCTGGCCTCCATTATCACAGCAGAAGTCAGAAAACTACAGTTCTGTCAAGTGTGAATTCTGTGTGAAAATTGTAATTTGTCACTTTAATGATGACTTCTATTCTGATATTGCTTTGATTTTAACAACGGTAGCCATGAAATAGTGCATGGATGTAGGTGCTAGGCCTAATTTTTGTGTAGAGTTTTCAAATGTTTTTAATGTTTGTTTTAATTCTTGCAGGTGGTTTATACTCTGCTTAGTTTGTATATCCTATCTTGTGTTGTTGCTGGTGTCTGGAGACAGGGTCAAGCTCTGTCAATTGGGCCCAACTGGATAGGTTTTGTCTGAAGTCAGAGGCAAAATCCAGTCCCTGAAATGTTGTGTTTTAAATAAAAAACCAGGATGATGGATAATGTCCAGAAACACAATAATTGTATTAATATTACATTGTTTCAAATTTTGGGATCTTATTTAAACTATTCATATTTCATAACATGTATGCAGTTGAGATTTGAGTTTCAATGCAGTTTTAATTTATTTTAATAGAATATTAGAACATCCATCGATGATTTAATTATATACAGAAATATTATCTGTTTGTGGAGTAAATTTAAATTTACTGTTTATACCAGTAATAGAGCCTAGATTATTATTATGACATTTGCTTTTCATTCCTCTCTAAATGTAAAATTACACCATGCCATGAAGGCATGTAAGGATCATAGAGGCAAAGCTTCAAAGCCCTAAATTAGTACATACTTGATGTTAGCATTGTTATATGCGAAAAATAGCAGGCAGATAAAATTTGCTTCATTGCTATGTTCCTTTCAGAACTGAAGTTGTAGCACACTTATTTTTATTTTTACAGCACCATATGTGAAGGTATATCTAGTGAGTGGGAAGAAATGCATAGCAAAAGCGAAGACTGCAACAGCAAGAAGAACACTAGATCCATTGTACCAACAACAGCTAGCTTTCAGAGAACCATTCCAAGGCTGCATATTGCAGGTAATGGGAAGTTAATGGAAGTAATTTTCAGAGTGATTTTATACACAATGTCTATCTGACAAGTTATTTGTTTCCATTTTTGTGTGATGTGGGCGTGCCATAAGGATATGTCACATGTTTGGAATTTCTGTGTGAGTATATGGTCAGCTCACAAGTCTCGTAACAAAATTTCTGTAAAAGAGCAAGGAAATTTTATGCTTGTTCTGGTGGTTTTATGACAGCTAGAAAAGTATGTGAGTATAAAAGGGTCAGAGATAATTACAGTTTCAGTGATTGGGAGGGGAAGGCAGCCCCCTTGTGAACAGCAAATGAACTGTCATTTGACATGAAAAGAGGAATGGTTCTAATCATGGTTTAGGAATGGGAATCAATCACAACTGAGGTCTCTTGTTGTTTTTTCAGTCCTTTGATACAGAGGTAGATTTGGACATGCTGGGATCTTAGCTACTTCAAAATTATGAGGTCCAATATAAAATACAAAGGATATACGTTATTTTAAGATGGACAATTTAAGCAGAAGTATTTTTTTATATTATTTTTATATTCTATCCCTGTAACAGGCCGTGGAGGCCCATAGGGTTGTGAGACGTTGAGGGTCCCACATTATCTAGACAGTTGGCTCAAAGATGGCAGTAAGGTTGTCAGCTTTATGCACCGGCCATGCTCTACTCCCCAAGAAAATTATTTAATTAATTCATGGTACTCATTTCTGTTAGAGGCTGAGTTGACCCCAAGGCCATAGTGTGGCTGGAAGGATTAGGTCAATTGAAAAAAATCCAATGACCACATCAGGACTTGAACCCGTGACCTTCCAGCTTGTAGCATAGTGCCTCAACCAACTATGCTACCGCATGCCCCCATGCAGAAGTATTAAGGTGTGGGAACATCCCCACATAACACGCTGTTTCGCCCGTCTTTCAGACAACACTCACTCCTAAGTGAATATCACATTGCCCGACATTGCGCTCATATTTATACAGTACTCGCTGTCCAGTCCAACTTCATATCATCGCTGGCCAATCAGTGCTCACAATTGCAACTGCAAGTTTCGCTCCACCCAGCAAGCATGATATAAAAGGCGGAGCCCAAAGCTCGCATTTGTCAGTGATCACATTCAGTTCAGAGCGATCGGTCATCAGAGGCATCAGCTCTTCACTGCGACCAGGCAACTGGCATAGTTGCCGCAAGTCTCCAGCAACCAGGCAACTGAAGTAGTAGCCGCAAGCCTCCAGTGACCAGGCAGCTGACGCAACTCCAGCAACGGCTGCCTCGGTCGCGAGGCAGCCTTTTCTGCCGGTGCATGCAGCACTACATCACTGTCCAGACAGGCCAGCTGAATGGTCGTAAGACTCCACCTACTACGGAGGAGCGAAATCTGCCAGCACACTCGCGGTGGAACAAACTGCCCTTTGAGGGCTAGCCAAATTTTGAACATTCCACATAGCTTCACAGCTATTCTGTAAATTCAGTTTATACGTTTTAATATATACAATTGTTACAGTTTTACATGGTTATCATTTAGAACCTCGACAATCCCACAAAAGTTTTAAACTTTTATATGGTTTTTGACAGATGCAATGAATAAACAGTAATGAAAGTAATATTATCTAATATTGCCTATGTTTCACATCCATTCAGGTGTAAATTAAACACTTGCAAGTATAGTTTCGTGAAATCTCATTATACTCTTACCAGTTTAGTATCTTTTATTTATTTTATTACCCCATTGGTCATCTCTCAGTATCAAGGTAATACCATTTACTTTGAGCTTAGTATATTTTTCCTTGTCCTTGTCCTTCATACCTTACTGCTTCATAAATTTGATGCCTTGCATCTTTGTGATGATTATGTAAATTGGTTTTGTAGTTACCTAACTAGGTTCATTTTTCTGGAATTCATCCATCACTGTTTGTAGTGCTCCCTAGTATTCCACACTTGTATGTTTTGGTGTGTCATCTTTTCAGTATATTTATTAATGAGTTATGTAATTCAGATAAGTTCTCTGGGTAGCTTCCTTTTGCTGATAACACTGAAATTTGTCATGCCATTATGTGTGCTACTGATTGCATTCTGTACAATTTTATATTAATTATGTATGTGGCTGGTGCCGTGCTAGCTTAATGAAATTCAGCAAGACCAGAGTTATTTCCTTTGCAAGAAAACTAACACTTTGATTTATAAGTATAAAATTTGTGAACCCATATAACCTGGACTGACATCTCATAGACCTGGGGGCTTTTTTAATTTAAAACTCCATTTCCACAATAATTTTTATGATATGTATTTTAAGTCAGTACATTGTTTGGTTAAGTTTATTCTGTATGATTTTATATTTTCCTGCATGACTGTTTATTGATATTACATTTTACTTTAGTTACGTCTAAGCAGGTGGCAGAAGAAATATAAAAATATAAGTTAGAATTAGTGGCGTACAGGAGGTCAGATGGGATGGAGGTGGCGCTGAACCAGCAGGTGAATATACATTTTTCTATGGAAATTGGAATAGGATCATGAATTAGGTACAGGTTTTTTGTACATAAGAAAATCATATCAGCAGCTAAGAGGTTAGAGTTATATTTTAGCACCCCATTACTTTGGGGCATCATCCTTTATTATCAAAGTATCCATCAATAATGCAACAATTGTTGCATTATTGACAGATACATTGATAATAAAGGAAGAGGTTAGAGTTTTGTTAGTGATAGGATGTCATACATAATACTAAGAGGTTGCTGGTGTGATATCATTGTTCTGAATGTTCATGCCCCAACAGAAGATAAAATTGATGATATAAAGGACAGGTTCTATGAAGAACTAGAACATTTGTTTGATAAATTCCCTAAATACTATATGAAAATTTTGTTAGGAGGTTTCAGTGCCAGAGTAGGTAAGGAAGACTTTTCAAACCAGCAATTAGGAATGAAAGTTTACACAAAATTAGTAATGATAATGGAGTTAGAGTAGTAAACTTTGCCACATCAAAAAACAATATTATATTTAAGCATCCTGTTGCACTCTACACGATAAATGATACAAACTCCGTCCTAAGTGCAAACAATACATATTTATATGTCCCTGATCTTGTTCCTTCCACACTACATGTTTCGGCCTCTATCGGCCATCATCAGGTGTACGCTCTTAACGTTTCTGCCACACTGAACCCAGTCTAAAACTTAACATTCAAAAACACAATGTCACATTCTTCGTATCATCAACATCTACATCGTTGATATGTGTCTGGTATGTAGATTATGTTGCACACGTCAAACGAAGAATGTGACATTGTGTTTTTGAATGTTAAGTTTTAGACTGGGTTCAGTGTGGCAGAAACGTTAAGAGCGTACACCTGATGATGGCCGATAGAGGCCGAAACATGTAGTGTGGAAGGAACAAGATCAGGGACATATAAATATGTATTGTTTGCACTTAGGACGGAGTTTGTATCATTTAACATCAAAAAACCTTACTGTCAAAAGTACAATGTTCCCACATCGTAACATCCATAAATTTACTTGGACATCTCCTGATGGGAAGATACACAATCAAATAGACCATATTTTGATAGATAGGAGACGGCACTCAAGTATACTTGATGTCCGATCATTCAGGGCAGCAGAGTGTAATACTGACCACTACCTGGTGGTTAAGGAAAGACTGGCAGTGAGTAAACAAACAATGCACAGAATTCATATGGAGAGGTTCAGTCTCAAGAAATAAAATGAGGTAGAATATAAAGAGCAGTATCATGTTGAAATCTCAAATAGTTTTGCGGCTTTGAAGAACTTAGACACTGATGTGGATGTTAATATAGCTTGGGAAACTATTATAGAGCATATAAAAATTTCTGCCAAGGAGAGTCTAGATTATTATGAATTGAAGAAGCATAAGCCATGGTTCAATGAAGGATGCTCAAAATTATTAGACTGAGGGAAACAAATCAAATTGCAGTGGTTATAAGATCCAAGCAAAATAAATGGGGATAATCTGAACAATATAAGACGTGAAACCAGCAGGTATTTCAAGAAAAAAGAGGGAATATCTGAAAGACAAAATTGATGAGCTTGCAAGAGCAGTAAGAAAAAGCATATCAGAGACCATTATAGAGGAATAAATGACTTTAAGAAGGGTCAGCAACCTAGAAATAACTTAGTGAAAGATGAGAATGGTGATCTGCTTGCAGATTCCCACAATATTTTGGGTAGATGGAAGAAATACTTCTCTCAGTTATTGAATATATGTAGGGTCAGTGACTTTGGTAGATAGAAGTACATACATCTGAGCCATCAGTACCTGATCCAGGTCCTTCTGATGTTGAAATTGCTATTGCAAAGATGAAAATGTATAAATCACCAGGTAGTGATCAATTTCCTGCAGAACCAATTCAAGCAGGAGGTGAAAAAATATGGTCTGAGATCCACAAACTCATTAATTCTATTCGCAATAAGGAAGAATTGCCTGATCACTGGAAGAAGTCTATCATTATACCCGATCATAAGATGGGTGATAAAACTGACTGTAGTAATTATCATGCCTCAATGTACAGGGAGATTTTTTTGAGAAATAAAAGCCTTTTTCAAATCAGTACTCTTATTTGTTTAAGTTCTGTATCCATTTGTAACTTACTTATTGACTTACCCTTGTATTTTATTTATTTATTGTCTTATCAGTGGTTTAAATATATTTCCTCTCATGTTGCTAAATTGATATAGTGTTAATTGTTTGTTGTTGTTATTATAATCTTGTTGCTTTCATCATCTTTATCATCATCATCATCTGGTACTTAAAAATTATGGGCTAAAAATTCTAAGGTGTGGGATTTACAACATTTCTGAAGTAGAGGCAGTTAATTAAGTGAGAATGCTCACACGTGCAGATGTTCACACACTTGTTCCTTTCTTCACAGGTGACTGTTTGGGGTGATTATGGTCGCATCGAGGGCAAGAAAGTCTTCATGGGTGTTGCTCAGATTATGTTGGATGACCTGAACCTCTCCAACATTGTGATTGGCTGGTACAAGTTGTTTGGAACGACCTCATTGGTTAGTGGGCCTCCCTCGCTCGGCCTGTCTCGACGCAGCTCTCTGGCTAGCCTAGACTCCCTCACCAGTCACTAGCCTAGATCACCACTACTACTCTACTGACACTTCTACTTCTACTGCAGTAACCCACGCCACCTTCCCTCATCACCACCACTATCATCACCACCTACACACCTGCACTCACTAGCAATTTGCCTGACTGAGAACTTATCATCCATCGCCTGCTCTCGATGAAGCCGTCAGTTGCTAATCAGTAGGTATTCTAACCATAAACAACCTCAGTCGATCGATGATCCTCCTGCCTTATATGTTGTGAAGGATCTCTTCAAATTAATTCAGTTTTAACAGAGGAAGCAGGTAATTACACATCCAAAAGTGATCCAAATGGTTATTTGTATATTGCAGCCCATTAATATCATAAATTAAGCTATGTGTTCTATTCTACAGAATTTTAATTAATTATTTTCATGACTGCTCTGTAGAAAAAAGGAAGAATGGAGATCTTTAAGTTAGTATAAAACTTTGTAAGATTTGAGGCTTTCATGGCAGTGACTATAAAGAANAAAACTTGTATGTCAATTTGGGACTGCACACCAATAGAAGTGAAAAATCTCAGATTGTAAACTAACAATGTATTTAAAACACTTAAGTTTTGGATTTCATGTAACACAGATGTCATAATATCCAGCCTTGCATTAGTATTGATCACTTCCATATTCACTGTTTCCAAATATAGCTTTAACCTTTAACCATTTGTTGTTTAACAATGCTGTAAACATTGAGAGTATGTGGCATCGGTGATAGTATGATTAATTAATGTGGAACACTGGGGAATGAGAATTGGCAAGGGAAACAAAGGCACTTTGAGAAAACCTGCTCCAGTGCATTTTGTCCATCACATATCCCACATGACTACAAATATGAAGACCACGAAGTTGGCAGTAATGAGATAACTGAAGGCGTGAGTGCAAGAGCTAGTTAATTATCACATTTTTGGATTAAAATTGTAATGCATTTATTTACTGAAGCAGTATAGAATAATTTAATATATAGACGTGTTAATTGTCATTAAGTGCGTGAAACATATTCTTTCTTGAGACATTTGTGGCTCTTCACATAGTCAAGAAATGCCTGCCTTCTACGTAACCCAGAAATTCATTACTATGGTCATAAGAGTTCACTGCTGGATGCTAGCCCAACCCAGATGAATCCAGCCCACAAGGTTGGACTATGTTTCTGTAAAGCTAATTTTAATCTGGATCTCCCATCTATCCCTAGGTCGCCAAAATGGCCTCTTTTCTTAAGACTGAAGCATTTCTTATTTTGACTAAGCATTCTACATGCCCATGTTTTATCATGCTTGATTATAACTTGAATATTATTATGAAGAATACAAATTATAAATTTCACATTTACTGTGATCCAAACTAAAGCTAACATGACACATGTAGAAGTCTTTGATTTCATGGAGACAGTTTAATGGCAACTGGACACATGAAGTAAAAGCTCAAAATAATGAAATTCGAGGAACCAATATATGTTATTTTGAATTGTTTCATTTTGGTCCGTTACACTATTAATCACCAATTGTCAATAAATTTTCCGTCAAGTGCAACAATATATATTTTGGTAACTTATTTATATCATCGGCCTTACATGTTTCGGTTCCAAGGAACCATCTTCAGAGGCACTTACAACAAATCATGAAAACACTGGCACAGCTCAACATCCACAGTATGTAGTTATTTGTGGAAACTATTACACATATCGGAGTGTGTATACACATCGCGTAAGATACACCCGATCACAAGCCCACACAACCCCGTGCTGACGCCTCCCCCCATTGGGACGATTCACCAAGAAGGAGCCTGAATATTTTACTTGAACGTTTTTTAATTTTTAACTTTAAATTTTAACGTTGACGACTCGGTTCGAGGGTGGTTTTTTAAATGCAAGTGCTATACCTGCATTCAAGATACTGGGAAGTGTTGTGCTTTACACTCCGATATGTGTAATAGTTTCCACAAATAACTACATACTGTGGATGTTGAGCTGTGCCAGTGTTTTCATGATTTGTTGTAAGTGCCTCTGAAGATGGTTCCTTGGAACCGAAACATGTAAGGCAGATGATATAAATAAGTGACCAAAATATATATTGTTGCACTTGACGGAAAATCTATTGACAATTGGTGATATATGTTATCTTTATTTTTCCAATTTTTTTTTAAGCGAATTTTACAATATTGTATTCACTTTTACATTCACTACAGACTGACATCAGCATTAGTTATTACTGTGTAGATATTCTCTACACCTGGTGTTATAAATGTAATTTCAGATGTGCATGAAGTTCCAAGTTTTCAATCAGCCAGAGTTACAGAAATTGTTCAAATTGTCCATATCTCAAATATATTCCAGTGGCCACCATTCATTAGCTCAGTAATTAATATGGTACCTAATTTGATTTTGAACAGTGAGTTTTAGGTTAATGTTAATGTGAAAAGACATGAAGAGGTCCCCAAGAACTGTAGCTGTCTGTCACTGTGCCCTTGTGATATTCAGCAGTATTATTTCACAGTTTCTGCCTCATTGCTTCATATGGTTCAAGACCACTCTGTTCAGTCATATTGATTTATAAGTTAAAATCAGGAAGTTAAATAATTTGTGTTCTATATTGGGGATGTGACCCAATGCTTGTTTATTTAAGCTGAATTCAGTTTGCATGCAAGTATCCCTGCACCTTGCAAGCTTCTCTGATGTGTGAGGTCCTGATTCTCCTTTTCCTTATTCTTGATTCATTCATTCTTCAGCCCTTAAAAGAGCTGTTCTTTATATAGTCTGGCCCCCAGCATACCATTTAATATACAGAACCATCTGTCATCCGTTCTCATTATTTCCACTCACGAAATTAAAGAAATATGTTCCTCCAGATTATCAAAAACATTTTCTATCATTACATGGACTTCAAACTCAGAATAGAAAAATGAATAATGCATATGGATCACTATGAAAGTCGTATGCAATTTAAGTTATGAAATGAAATCATCTTTATATTTCATTTTTTTCAGATTATCTTGAAATATAGAAACTGAATTTTTCATATTTTCTTGGGATGTTTTATTACATTAAAATTGTGTGTATCATATAAAATAATAAAATGGTTTTAAATTTTATTTTTATACTGAGTGCAAATAATAAAGAATCACTGTCATTGTCCTGCAACAACTCAATTTGTAACACACCTGGCATTTACTTTTGTGCTTAGCTCCTGAGAATATCAAGTTAGGTAGCTGGAACTTTTAGAGTTATAACAATTGGAATGTTGCTGCATGGTTGGCAGCACTGTGCAAGACACACAATATAATACCTGCCATCCATTCAATTTTTCTCCATTGCATATACTCAAGTAGCAGGTTGAGATTGAGGAGTTTTCAAAGAATGGTGCCAAGTATATAGTTTTAAACATAAGCATGTAATGAAGTGTGCTCTTTAGATTTCGGTAGAGCAGAATCTCAGGAATGCAATGCTCATACATTCATTTCATTCACTAAGTTTCTTTTGCTCCATTTTGGAGCATAGGGCTTCCACGAAGCATCTCCAGTGGACTCTGTTCCCAGCCAGGCTCTCGACCTCTCATCAGAGGTCTTCTTCTTCAACAGTTCTTTGCTAAGTTGTTCTTGGTCTGCCTCTCTGTTGCACTCTGATTTTTACATAGTGTGTGTCCTATCCATTTCCATTTCCTTCTTTTTATTGCTGTGGCTACTGATTCTTCCTTTGCTAGTTTCTATAGGTTTTCATTTGTAACAGCCATTGGCCAAAAGATGTGAAGGATTCTTGTTAAACATTTATTGATAAATGCCTACCGGTTGATAGTAATTGTCTTTGTTACTTCACTGCACATACAATATAATATTAATTACATTATAAAGTACTATAGTTATACAGCAATAATAACTATCCTATGTAAGGTGCACCTTAAGAGACAAATCTCCCCAGGCAATTTGTTAATAAAGGGTTTATTTCTCCAGGGTTCTGTTTACTTAAATAGTTATGTGATGCCATATATTATCACTATTATTTGTATTTTTGAACTTGTGACATATTAAGGCTAAAATTATATTGCATTTAGTTTTCATGATTGCAAGAAAGGATGACTGATTATCTGAGGTAGAAACAATTTGTGACATAAATTATTTATTTTAAACTTTAAATTATTCAGATTATCTCATAAATCAAACAGATAAATGGTGTGCAACCAAATCAAATTTCTTGTGCCACAGGTAAGTGAATTAAATTACTGATTATTGGGTATGTAATGAAAGTCATGTGGTGTGCAGTCAAATTAAATTCCATGTGTCAGAGTTAAATGAATGAGAGCCATGGATCTTTGGGTGTGTAATGATGTAGGTCATTAATTGAGTACTCTTGTATTATGTGCAGTCTTATAAGTTCTCCTTTCACAACATTTTAATAAGGAAAACTAATTTTTTTTATATCACAACCTTAAAACACTTTCAATCGAAATCATATTCCCTACTACAAAATATGTGACATTTCCTTTACCAATTCCACTGTAGCTGTAGTACTGTTTTGCATCTGTTTGATGAACTTAAGTAGATAGCCTACGTTTTCATGAGTCTTGAAAAGTGCATGCTATATATATTTATATTTCACTTTATATTATTTTTTCACATTACTGACTGCATTTCAGAACACTGTCACTCAAAAGTTACCATTCCTCTTACCACCGTGAATCATGGAGAGACACCAAACCCACAACTGGCTGTAATGGGCAAGAGATTAATTTCTTTTAAAAATTATTTTGAAACTATCAGTATTGATTACATGAGGCAGTTGTTACATCAGTCAGATGATTTACTGTTACAAGTATCATCATGATAAAGTTATTTATTTGGATAATTTAAAATTGCTACACAACTATATAAATTTGCGTCTTAAAGTTTGGTAATTATATTTGTTATCATATCCCTTTGGAAAGAGAGGGTGTCTGTAAAATATGGCAGATTTTTCTGTTATGATGTTTTCAAACAAGTTATCTCACTTGCATAAATTAACACATTTATTGAACATCATAACCATATTATGTGAATAACACAAATCAATAATTTCTTCATTGTCTTGTTATATCATTTATTTATTTATTATTATCATTCATTGATCCATTCAGGTACATAACCACTGGATACAGAAATTGTCAGTAGATTACATTCATCTCTCATGGGTGCATATGTT